AAAACCTTTTTTTTTTTTTTTTTTTTTTAAGCCTTAGATGCTTCAATTTTCGAGGAAATTTTACATTCCCACCATTAATAGGAAAACCAGTATCACTTGCCAGAAAGAATTAAGCCCAAGAGTAAAACACGTCCCCCCGCGCCCCCAAAGCCACCCCTGGCTCCCGGGCGTCGTGCCTCGAGCGCCCGCCCTGCTTCGGGGGACACGGAGAGGGCCCATTTTCCCATTCCCCCCAAGAGGACACTGAGGCCCCGGGGGTCGCCGAGGCTCTGGTGAAGCCAGAACCGCAGCCAGGACCCCACCCCGGCGCTCCGGCCTCCCCGCGCTGGCTGTGTGACCGACTGGAAGGATGCTTGTTTAAAACTTGAGCGTTTCTAAACCCCTCGACGTGTAAAGGGCTCGTGCGTTACTGTGGGAATGTGGGGTGCGGGGGGGGGGGACCGATGTTTATTGCCTGAAACTAGTTCCTCGGAATACTGAGGGCTCTTAAATGGCGATATTCCAAAAGTTGAAAGGCTTTGTTTCGGGAAGGCACAAGGTGCTGCTGTTCTCTGAAGGCGCCTGTCCGGCCTCTTGTGAGCATGTTTGGAAATAAGTAACTTGGCGAGCCTGTCCAGAGTGGGAGGAGGAAACGCGAGGCCCCCCGTGCCCATACGACCTCTGTGTTTTGCTTTTGAGTGGGTGTGTTGTGAGCAGGCAGGGGCCTCTCCCTGCCGGTTTGCAAGCTGCTGACCTCAGACCAGCTGGGGAGTGATTGGTGGGGCCTGGGTGTCGGGGAGAGAGGGGTGCGTGAGTCCTAAGGAGAAAAGGGGGGTGTAAAAAGGGGGAAAGGACAGGATAATGATATTTGCATATGAACATAGATGGGGGCACTTTGTAGAAGTTTTTATTCAGTAAAATATTTTACTTATGACTCATGCACGTCGGGTAAATTGCTGAATATTTGAGATTATTGGCCAAGAGCAGTACTGTAAATGTTTTGCGGGAAGTGATTAGGTAGCTGCTCTGGGACTGAAATATTCTGGGGGAGCCTTAGATCAGCTCATTTTTTCACTCGGGCACAGCAGGGCCCTGACAGATGACTCTACCAGGCGAAGGTTGGCTCCTTGAGATTCTAATTTATGTTTCGGGCTCATGGAAATTCCTTGAAAGTAGGACAGCCTTTTTAGCCAGTGCTACATTTTATAAGATTTAGTGAAATACCTTGGCTATGGGTTTGCTTGTTTTGGGTTTTTTTTGGTGGTGGTGGTGGTGGTTTGTTTTTACATTGTCCTAAATATGTGTCATACTCTTCAATCATTCATTCATTCGCTCATTCATATATTTAGAAATGCTGTGCTTATTGAGTACTAGTCCCTAGGGATACAACAGGGATCAAAAACCTGCCCTCATATTACCTCTGATTCATTGATTTTTATGGTTCTTGACCTGATGGAACCAGCATGTTGAGGAAACAGAATACTCTTCATCAAACAAGCATTTATTGGACATTTACTGTGTACGGACCCATGGAATTGAAAACAGCTGACTCCAAAATCGCTGTTTCCAAAGGGCTGGATGGTGTGGTGAGAAATGGCCCTGTGCTGTCAGCTTCCAGGGTGCTGGGAAGACACAGGAAGGAGTGTCATTAGGTGAGGGCCAGGGTTCAAGGAGAGCCTCCTAGAGGAGATGTCACTGGATAGAGGAGTGGTCAGTGTGAAGGAAGGGTGTTGTGCATCCACCTGCCAGGCAGAAGGAATGGAGAACCACTGTTATTTCTTGGTGACTGAAGCAGAAGGTGTATTGGTGGCCATGACAGGAGAGAGTAATGCCAGCTGGAAGGCCCCATGTCCAGTTTTGGAAGGGACTTCGTTAGGAAGTTCCCTCGTTAGGAACCACTCTCAGGAATTTGGACTTTATTTTGTAGGTAGTGAGTAACCATCAGAGTTCAGAGCAAGCGGATGACATGATCAGAATTTGTCCTTTAGAAATAACAATAGCTTGCTAACCTTTTAAAAGTCCCTTGTCTATGTCAGTACAGAATTGGACCTTATGTATGTTACCGCATCCAATCCTCACATCTCCCCACGAGGTGGGTGCAGCCACCTTCCCTTACCAGCAGTTCCAAAATTCAGTACATTCTAAAACGTTAAAAGTAGGGGTTTTATGGTTTGTTTATTTGTTTTCTAAGCTGGTCCTGAAAACTGTTGGTGCTAAAACTGGCCTGACTAGGGTGAGACTATTTGTAGTCTTTATCCCATGCAACATGAATATTTGTTTTCCTGCGTTTAATTGCTGGTGCTGTCCCAGGCCCCCCTGGCAATGTTATTGGATACACATCCTATTGCAATGGACATTTGACAGTTCAGAAAACTGAGGTACAAAAGACATTGAAGCAACTGCTCAAAGTCACATAGCTAGTAAATAATAGGACTGAGATTTGAACCCAGGTCTGACTCAGCCTCTAGTTCTTTCTGCCATGCATCCAGTTTTTCTACACATTTGGAGAAACTGAGTCCAGGCGGTATCAGTCAGTGATGGACGACTCTGGCAGGAAGTGTAAAATACTAGGATTCTACCTTTTGCTATGAATCAGTTATCCTTCCTTTATACTCATTTTCAGGGTTTTAAAAAAATGGCTTGCACCTTTTCTCTACAACTGCTGCTTTCATACTCAGAAAAGTAACTTTAAAGTGGGGTCCTGCTGAAGTTAATTCACTTACAGTAGCTAAAAGTGGTGAGAACTGGCTGAAAGCGTTTTGAGAGGAAAAGTGAAAGATATGAGGGTTGTCCTGAATTTAGTGTCCATTTCTCTAAACTCCTGGCCAGTGATTCTCAGCCAAGAGTGACTTTGCCCCCCAGGGGACATTTGACAATATCTGGACACATTTTGGTTGTCACCCCTGGAGGAAGTGGCACCAAGTGGGTAGAGGACAGGGATGCTGCTCAGCATCCTATAGTGCACAGGACGGTCCCTCATGAAAAGAATTACCCAGCCCCAAATGTCA